GAGGTCTCCCAAGACACTTCCTTTCCAGGAAAAAGAGCTCCAGAATAAAATGAAATAAAATTTGGCAATGTATAAAAATAGGTTGTCCAGATGCTTAGAGAATGGCACATAGCTGACACACACAACTGGATTCCAGCACATTTATGGATGCCCTATGCAAGCTGTCTGACAGTCAGAGGGAAACAAACACGTCCCACCTCTCTGATAGGGCAGCTGTACCCTTTTTACTGTGTAGGCAGACAGCTTCTAGAGCAGGGATATGGCCCTTCAGAGGTTGTCAAACTCCAGCTCTCATTCAGCACGACCAGTGTTCATGACTGCTGGGAGTTGTAGTCCAACAACAACTAAAAGGCCACAAGTTCCCCACCCTTGCTCTAGCGTAGCCTCCCCCAACCTGGTGCCCTCCATATGTTTTGGACTGTCCTTGATTAATGGTATCCGATTTATTTATTTTAACAAAATCAAGCTGCTGTTCACTACCATTAGCACCAAAGCAGGGTACGATGTCACTAAAAGAGGAGTAAAATGCATAGTAATATAGCAACAAAACACACCATTGTAAACAGTCTTCATTTGGCATCAGTTTGTCTTGGGAGACAATGGAGGAGCGAGTCTTTGTGGGTGATTTCAAACTGTTGGAAGATTACAGCACCTGCTGTGGCTGTAGAGACCGATGTTGGAGACACATGTTCATTGCAGCTGGAGCAGATGAAGGCATCCAGATGTGCTGCTGCAGATGCATCAAGGGGTTTCTTCTCTCTGCACTCAGCCCAGCGGACATCCTTCTTCTGGTCACTGCTATGAATGCATGCCTGACTGTCTGTCTCCAGGCACTGTGGTCGTCTGCAAGGGATTCCCATATGGCACGGTTGATGTTGCCAGCCTTCACGTCATGTCTGCAGACATCTATTGGCAAAACCTATTGGTGTTTCGCAACTTTCTGACTAGTTGCAGGACCTTAGCCAGACCTAGCAGAGTAAACGCAGAGTTCACGAAAGCGATTGGCAACTTGGCTGCAGACAGGATGGACGAAGCAGGAACCAGGAACTTGTAGTTAGGTGTTTATTATACACAGTGGGCTATTTACAGGAACAGAACAGAACACGGATCTTTAGCTAGCTCTCTCATACACAACTCACAACTCTCAACCTCCAACTCCTACACTAACACTTGTACTAGTTAGTAGGCCATTAATCATTATTCTCTTGAGAGAGCTTGACCAATCATGGAGCTATCTCCATGCCCCTGGCAGACTTACTCCTTCACATTGCCTTTTGGCTGTCTGCCAAACCTTAATTGACTCTGTGTGAGTAGCTGCATGTATTCAGATTCCCAACAACATCTTTGTAACACAGCTGGTCTGCCAACAAGCCTGGTGCCTGAAGCCAGCTCTCCATAGAGCACATCCTTGGGGATCCTGCCATCTTTCGTTCTGTGGAGGTGACCAAGCCAGTGTAGAGGTTGCTGAGAAAGGAGTGACACACTTATTTAACCATATGGTTAACAGAATTAACGTACCTATTTAACCACAACGCAACCCAAGACTGGGTGAACAAGTGAGTCTTTAGTTTGTGCTGAAAGCCTGGCACCAAGTACAACTGAGTTGTGAGTTATGTTGATCATTAAATGATGATTGTCATGGGAGGATTACACAATGAACAGCGGGCTACAAGTTGAAGGAAATAAATAAATAAATCAAAATGAAGAAATGAAATGAGTAGGACACCCTTCCAAGCTCATATATTTAAGAGCTTCCAAGAATGGGATCCAAAAGCAGAAACAATAATTATAGGCAACAGGCAATTAATTGTTAAGAATTGCCTAATAGCCCTTTTAACAAAGGGAAGAAGTACTTGATGAATCATATTTGCCATGTACCATCAGTCTGGGAAGTGTACATATATATTTAAGTCTAACCTCACCACACCTTTCTTTTATCTTTCACCTTTATAAAACAGGTTAGTCTTCTACAGGGCAGAATGTCAGGACTCTGTTAGAAGAGGAGACTTATTTCTTTCCTTTTGTGTACGTAACCACATAAATTTGCTTTTGCGTACACATCTGCATAATTGCCTCAAATTATAACAAAAAGTAATTTGCATGACTGCCCACAAATCCTGACAATGTGCATGGTATCAAGTTGCCAACTTTCGAACGGCCTTCTGTAGCTGTCCATTTATTAGCCGTTTGATCTCCAGCAATGAGGACGGCCTCCACTAGCATGGTGTCGGCCAGATGTTTTGTACTATAATTCCCATCAGCTCCTGCTGATACAAGGCTGTAGCCTTGTAAACATAATCTTCTGCAAATCCTTGGCCATATGCTAGGGCCCTATTAGCCTGTTGGATAATCTACCCTGGTCAAAAACAGCTTTGATCTCAAGTGTCAGTAAAATCAATCAAGAGGAGGGACTTTTACAGATGTTCTGACTATTCTGAACTTATTCACAGATGATCTGAATGAAGCTTCTGGACCAATGGATCACAGTTTGAGGACCCCACTATACATAGTGCTTTGGGGTTTTTTTTTAGGCTGAATGTCTTCCCCCTGCCTTCTAATTCTTTGAACAGCCAGGCAAGCTTCCTGGTAAAGTTATGGGCTGTTAAAGGAACAAAGGAAAAGGCTCTGTGTTAGATGACAAATCCCACCCCCCAACCTCAACTCAAGGGTAGTTAGAAAGACAAAGCCAGAACTGAGAGCAAAGAGTTGGAGAGATGTGAGCTAGAAGCAAAGTAGCAAGCAAGGAAGAGATATAAACAGCAATGTTTGATTTCTGTTTGAATCCAAGGCTTCAGCTATGGGGGAAGCAATGCCCTGAGAACCTCTTAATGAGGTGGCCTGTAAATATTGTAATTAAACAAATAAATATAAGTCCGCCAATGTGAATTCACTGTGTTATCTGTTGGTATCAGTGGTGGGAACCTGAAAAAACAGAGGGGAGGGGGAATGCAAGAAAGAAGGGCTGGCTGATGGGACACTGACCCGGAGCACTGAATAATGCAACATTTTGTGATTTACAGCTTCTCCTGAAAAGGTTATTTATACATAGCAATTAAGAAGCAAAACAGTGACTAACAAACTGTAAGCAAAACAACTCCCCGAAGGATGTTGAATTGGCTGCTGAAGTTACATAGGCCTTCATGCTCCTGCTTTCTCCGATAACCTTGGTGAAAGGTAACGGCTACAATAGCTGACGAAGATAATTCCGCTGGGAGGAGGGCCTGATAAGAGAGCTGCTGTTCCCTGAGGCTTGCCGCAAGGGAGGTTTCCATCAGAGAATTGAGTGGGTTGAGTGAGGCAGGAGCACTGGAGGGTTCTGGGAGATTGGTGTTTTGCATACGAGGCTGAATTTGTGTGAGGGCTGCCTCTAGTATCTGGGAACTCAGCCAGGGATCCTCTTTGCAATTGTCATGGCGCCGGTGAGTGGTTGATGACGTTTGCAAGAATGCCTCTGAGCATTTTCAAAGTGCCTGTCTTTCCTCACACTGTTGAGCAGCCACAGTACCCTATGCAGAAAGTACTGCTTCCAGTAAGCTTGAGCTTCAGCACTAAGCAGGGTTGAGCTTTTTAGAATTGATAGACTGATTCCATGAACAGCCAATGCATCTTGTTGCACCGGTGCAACTGCACCCCTTAGATATTGCCTAACCTTTATAAGAGTGACGCGGGTGGTGCTGTGGGTTAAACCACAGAGCCTAGGACTTGCCAATCAGAAGGTCGGAGGTTCGAATTCCTGCGATGGGGTGAGCTCCCGTTGCGCAGTCCCTGCTCCTGCCAACCTAGCAGTTCGAAAGCACCTCAAAGTGCAAGTAGATAAATAGGTAACGCTCCGGTGGGAAGGTAAATGGCATTTCCGTGCGCCGCTCTGGTTCGCTAGAAGCGGCTTAGTTATGCTAGCAACATGACCCAGCAGCTGTACGCCAGCTCCCTCAGCCAATAAAGCGAGATGAGCGCCGTAACCCCAGAGTCGGTCACAACTGGACCTAATGGTCAGGGGTCCCTTTACCTTTTTCCTAACCTTTATAAAGGCCAAAGTCATTTGAGGCAACACTTATTTTCCCTGGAATCTTTGTCCCTTAATCCTAGAGGGGTGTGAAATATACTCGGAGTCAAGAGTGGATTTCATGCTCTTTATTCAGATCATAGTGGTGAGGAGAAATGGAAGTTCCCCCACAGTATCTGCTTTATATACATTATTTACACAATGGGCTGCACATGATTGGCTAATTCTGGGATTCTCCTGTAGGCCAATCAGGTTGTGGATTCACTTCCACCTGGAGCTGGATTGGGTGGCTCCTGCGGACCAATCATACTGCTGCATTGTTCTAGGACCAATCAGACTGCTGCATTTTGGATCCTATTGTTCTAGGACCAATCAGACTGCTGCATTTTGGATCCTATTCAACTCAGTACATAACAGATGTGACCTACTTTTGAAAATCGTTATTTCTTTAGGCAGGATTCCACTCTGGACATGCTCCGGGGCAATCCCCTCTTCTTCCTCCAGCATGATGCAGAAGGCTGACCTTCAGCAGCCATAATTCATCCTAACTGATTCTGGGATCGAGCCCTTGCTTTATAAAAAAAACAGCAGTCTGTGAAACACTCATCCAAAAAGAGGCACGAGAAAGAGAAGTGGGGAATTTGACTCCAACTCCCATCAGCCCCGGCCACTGTGGCCGAAAGCCCGGGGCTGATGGGAGCTGTAGTCCATCCACATCTTGCACGAAGGGCAGGAGGGTGGTCTGTTGAGGGTGGGGAGAGGCGGAGCCCCTGCCAGCCCCTGTCCCTTTGATTGGTTACCAAGACCAGTTTTAGCCGCCGTATTGGTGGAGAGGGAGCGGCCGGGGTCTGTCAAGGGGCATGGCGCGGCACGCCAGTCTTGTCACTCAAACTCCACAACGTTCGTTAATCGGCGGGCGGGAGGGAGCGAGGGCGGGAACGCCTCCTCGCTCTTCCCATAGGCTGGACGGAGGTGTGGGCGTGGACGGAGAGAGAGAAAAAACATGGAGAGCGCCGCCTCCTCGCTCTTCCCACAGGACGGACGGAGTCGGGAGGACTAGAAGGCGGTCCATTCAACCGAGCCGACCGGCGCCTGCGCAGAACCGCCCTGCCTCATTCTCTCCTCACGCACAGACGCGCGCGCACGGTCTACTTTGCAGCGCTGCCGCTGCTGCGCTTCTTTGCCCCCCCCCCGACCCTTTTTACCTCAGCGCCGCCTGACCAGTCTCTGAGGCGAGCCGTGGAAGCCCGCCCTGCTCTGGGAGGAGGAGGGAAAGATGCCCGGAGCCTCCTCGAGGCGGCGCAGGGAGCTGCCGCCGCCGCCGCTGTGACTCGAACCCCTTCCCAAGCCAGCGAAGGGAGCGGCCGCGAGAAAGAGAGAAAGCGTCTCCCATGAGCAGCGCCTCCCCCTCGCCAGGGCAGCGCCGCCCTTCGCCTCCCCAGCGCCGGTAGCGAGAGAGAGCGGGCGGGCCCCGCTCCGAGGCGGTCGGCGAGGCATGCCGTCGACGTGGCTGAGCTGCCGCCTGGCGCTGCGCTTGGGCTCCGGGTGGCCCGGCGGCTCCTCGCCCTCCGCGCTGCTTTCCCGCCTCAGCCTCCGGGCTCCGCAGCCGAGGGGCCTCCGCTGCTGCTGCTGCTGCTGCCGCTGCCTCCTGCCCCTGCCGGGCCAGCGCCGCTGCCTCAGCACCTTCCGAGGAAGGACGGTGGCTCCCGCTGCCCCGGCCTCGGCGGGCTCCCCCCGGTCTCTGGGCACGCACCCGAAGAAGGAGCCCATCGAGGCTCTCAACACGGCGCAAGGGGCGCGGGACTTCATCTACAGCCTCCACTCCACCGAGAGGAGCTGCCTGCTGAGGGAGCTGCACCGGTTCGAGTCCATCGCCATCGCGCAAGGTAAGCAAAAGGGACCGCCGGGAAAAGGGCTCCTGGAGAAGGTGCGGGGTGCTTTTTCATCTGCCCGACGCGGGATTCGAACCCACGACCCTAATCGATCCCGGGGGTCTCGCGCCTGGGCTTTGCTTCTTTGCGCCGCTTTCCCGCCCGAGGCAAGCATTCGGAATGGAGAGCTAGAAGAAGAAGAGCCAGGAGGAAGAAGAAGAAGCGAAACTTTCCTATTACTTGGCGCATCGACCGAGGACTTCGTTGCCCCCGTTTCTCCCCTTCCGTATCTATAGCGCGCTTACCCGGAGTTCAGCGAGGCTTAACTCCCAAGTAAAGCCTTGCCCGCCGCTTAAAGATTGCAGCCGGCGCTTGGCGTGAACTTGGGCAGCGGCCGCCGTTCTCCACCCGGCTTCGTCGTGCGATAATATCGCCCTGGAATGCACAAGATACAAGGATAATGCCCCCGAGCACATTCAGAGTGGCTTTCTTGGGATGCTGTGTAACCATAACCAGCCACTGTAACTGTGGGGTTAAGGGGGAGGGTGTGGCTGTCAAGCAGGTTTGAGGCCTTGGTCTGGTACTGCTTTTGTGTGGAACGGGACAGGGATTCAGATGGGCGTGCTTTAGAAATAAACTATTGAGGCTAGGGCTGTGTGCTTGAAATGAATTCTGACTTGCATGGGGAAAGTGCTTCTCTTTAGTTCATGGACCCACCCATCTGACTTCAGGAGGCAGAGCTTCCAAGTTCACAAACATGTTGTTTAGGGAGCGTTGATTGAGCCTCCAGGCCTAGGCATGGAAACACTGAAGGCATGCATTAACCTGATATAGGGAAAAAAGTATTCACCCTATGTTGGTTTCCTAGCCCATGGCTAGTTGTGTGCAGGTGTGGCTTTTAGCTTGTCATTACAAATGTTGCTTTCCCAGCATTTGGCAAGGTGTGCAGAAAGCTGAATTGCACATGTGATAGCAGTTGTACAGGGGTGACTTCTTACATACTGGGTGATCACATACATGATCTCTCTTGCCACATTTAGGGTTGTGCAAGTGAATTTTTGATTCTTTAATCTCTGTTACATTCCAGTGTTTTGAATCGGTTGTGTCCAATACTTTGGGTCCCATTTGTGGATTGTTGCCAAGAAGATAGTCATGGTGCATTCTTGACATTGGTGTTCCTGTGGGTATACATCATGTACTGTAATCCAAATTCTGCTATCCCATTTTCCTGCAGTGTGTGCCTGGTACTGTCCAGACTGAAGCAGGAAACAGAGCATGGTAACTTGGATGCCTGGGAATACTATTATGATAAATTTAAGATGTGAATATTTTATAAACGGGGCAGTTTAAAAAAAAACCTCTTATATGAAAAGGGAATCAATGAGAGCATACTCTACTGTCTACAGCAGTAGAGAAAAAAGCACAAACATTGATTTGATTGGAGGGCACATGACCAACTAAACTGTTTCATAGTTCTGAGACTGCATGTAGATGGCAGCTTGTTTCACAACACTGAAATGGAAGTACTAAAATTGGAGATATATCTGACCTGAGTGGTACTAACTAGCACTGGGATGGTTTGGAGCTAAAATTGCAGATTTGGAGACCATACCTCTTTTGCTAGCCTTAGTTTCTCTGTGCTAATTGCTTCTAGTGACAGTCTCTGTGAGGGTTTCAGGTGACAGCTGCACTGATTCAGCACATCTTGTCAATGTAAAACTTTTCTAACTGCTTTGAATGCTGATGTATGGAGACTAAAGTATGGATATTGAACAACCCGTTGATTTTGTATGTTAATAAAAGAAACAGAAGCAGTGGAATAGGAATAACAGAATATACTTGACTGAGGATCCATCTTCTTTTAGTTAAGATTTTGGAAAAACTAGAGATTTTGCTAAAAGAAGATATTGTACTTCTCAACTTCAGCCTACACCACAGTATATGTATTTTATTTGCTTATCTAGCATAATACCGCATTTTTCTTTCAGTAAGATGCCCCCATGTAGAAGACACCCCCTATTTTTGGGGACTCAGATTTAAGAAAATGGGGGGAGATGGCCCAGAGTATAAGACTCCCCCTAATTTTTTGACATTATTTTTTAGGGGGAAAACCTACTCTTATACACAGGAAAATACGGTGTTTTATTTGTCTATATATCATCATCAATGTATGCAGTACAGAGGTTGAGATGTGAAGCCATGGGAAAAGCTGGATTTTTCCTTGTTTATTTTTTCATTTAAATTTCCTAGCTTTTTTCACAGGACTTCGCATCTCCGCAGATGACAGGTTCTTATCTAGGGGGCTTACAATCTATAATTCAACACTGAAATGAAATAGAAGGTGATAGAAGTGGAACGAGGGTTGAACAGGATTTGTTTAGCCAAACTGAAGAGCCACAGAATAGTAGAAGTTAAAGACATCCTGCAATTTACTGGGCAGGTTTACATAAAAAATAAATCATGTTTCAAATGTAACTGTGGTGTGTTCTTTTACGTTTACTGTAGTATTGTGTTATGGTAGCATTTTAGACCTCCAGCATATTGGATGGCATGTTTTCTTTGAAATCATGAATATTCCAGCATGTATTCTGTCACATTGAGCTGGCACATCAAATAGCTTGTTTTGGAACATTGCTTAATATAAAAGGCTTGTATCATAGTGTGAATAATGTCCATTCAGCTTTTTCCATAGTGAATAAGAGCAGCTGTTATGAGTTCCAAAGTGCATGCATGTGACAGCATCAGGTGGAAATGGCTTTAAAGATCATGTAAGGTTATCTTTCACATTGATTTTTCACCTATTTTTCAGTTATATAGCAGGTTCCCAGCTGATAGTCTCCTAGATGAAAGGCTGAAGTGACTGGAGAATTGCAACCTTTAAAGTAGAAAAATGAGCAAATGCTAAATTTAAAGTTCTTCAAGTGTTATAGGTTACTAGCAGCAAGCTTTCTTGGGTAAGGTTTGAGGTTACAATACACATTTAGAAACTAGTTTGCATTTGACTCTGGGCCATGACTTTGGTAAATATGCCCTTGAAAAGGACACTTGGCTGGCCCATAGCTAGGTACTCACAATCTGTTGCATTGGTATTGTTTAGCCTCCGATATATGTTTAATCTTAACCTTATATATAAGGTTTATATATATAAAAATATAAACCAAAGCTTTAATATTGAGTCTTATAACTCTCAAATAGTTACTTCCTATATTTGTAACTTCAGTTCTGAAGCAATCAGAATTTTCCTATATTTTTCAAAATTCTAATTTCAAAATTCTTTCCTGCTTAAATCTTCCAAAATATAAAAATAATTCTGATTTGAGTGTTGCAATGCAGGCTTATGTGATGCCTACACCACCTCACTCCAGCCTTTGTTTTGCAGAGCTGTAATTAAGGGACGCAGGTGGCGCTGTGGGTTAAACCACAAAGCCTAGGAGTTGCCAATCAGAAGGTTGGCGGTTTGAATCCCCACGACGGGGTGAGCTCCCATTGCTCGGTCCCTGCTCCTGCCAACCTAGCAGTTCAAAAGCACATCAAAGTGCAAGTAGATAAATAGGGAAGGTAAATGGCGTTTCTGTGCGCTGCTCTGGTTCGCCAGAAGCGGCTTAGTCATGCTGGCCACGTGACCCGGAAGCTGTACACTGGCTCCCTTGGCCAATAAAGTGAGATGAGCGCCACAACCCCAGAGTCGGTCACGACTGGACCTAACGGTCAGGGGTCCCTTTACCTTTACCTTTTAACCTGCTAATTGTCTGTGTACAGTGCTTTTTCTCTTGACAGTAGCTTTTAACTTCCTTCCCCCCGCCCCTGGGGCCTTCCTCAGGCTTTTCTTGCTGGATCCTGGTTGAGAGTCCCAGTGTCGTTTTCTTCTAAAGGAAGCTCCTATTTGTCATATTCAGCATTAGTTCTGCACCTCAGAATCTCTGTTGTGTTTCATGGGGACATGCTTAGAATTCTCAGTCTTCAATTTGTTTGGGATCCATAAATGTTGGCTTGACTTACAAGTCAGCCAGTATTTGTGGTCTCCACTAATCCCCTCTCCTGCATCCCCTGGTATGGACAGTGCATATAAGAGAAAAATGATGAGCTATCTCATTTATGTTGGTATGTATGGAGAAGGTACAAAATGTCAAGAGTCTTACGAGCTTAAATTATAGTGGAAATGAGGCCTCTGAGATAGCAGTTTTGTTGTGCCAATTAGCTTACCCACATGAGGTCTGAGGGCACACAGTCCTGAGGGTGTGGCAATTCATTCAGTTGAATTAAGTGAAGCCAAAGTACTGACAGCAGTACCTGCACGCGTGTTAGAATTTCCCCAGGTGCGTTTTGTGACTGGCACAGACCCTATTGCGACCACTTGGAGATCTCTGGAATGCCAGGTTGGCAACCGACATCTTCATCTGGCTGGCCCCTCCAGCTTTCTTAAGCAAGTAAGCAGAAGAGCTTATTTATTGCATTTATATCCCACCTTTTTCACCAAAGAGTATATGGTTCACCCCCCAGTAAGTTAGGTTGAGGCGTTGTGACTGGCCCAAGGACACCCAGTGAGCTTCATGACTGAGTGGGGATTCGAATCCTTATCTCCCAGGTTCTTGTCTGACACTCTAACCACTACACATGTTGACTTCCTAGAGTACTTCTGCTATGGGGCAGGTATATAAATTAAGTGGGAAAGCAAAATGTCAGAGAAGGAGCTGAAATATTTTCCTTGAAGTTTGAATTTGTTTTATTCTGCATTGTTTTATTTGCTGTTTTAATGTGTTGTAAACCACTGAGATTTTTTTATTTAAAATATAAAGTGATATTGATATTATCATTATTTTGCAAAAAGGGCCACCTAGATATTCCACTGTGGCGACTGTGACCTAGGTTTAAGCTGCCATTTGGCGATTAGCTTATATTTGAGTTTCTAATACAGTCATACCTCGTGTTGCGTCCGCTTCATGTTGCGTCTTTTCACGTTACATCCCATGGCAACCTGGAAGTACCGGAATGGGTTACTTCCTGGTTTCGCCGCTCACGCATGTGCAGAAGCCCCAGATCGCAATGTGCGCCTGTGCAGATGCAGCACTTCGTGTTCCGGGCATTTCACGTTACGGACGGGCCTCCGGAACGGATCCTGTCCATAACACGAGGTACCACTGTACTGCTGCAGTCTTCTGTGACATCTTAGTAGCCCATCTAATTTCAGGGAGTGGGGGCTGGGAGGTATGCATTTGCCTTAGGAGTTGTCTTTCCCTTTAAAAAGTTACTGTGACTCTCTGGTAGATGGTTCTTATGAGCTAAATGTTCTTTGCTCTTATTTAGTACTGCATTCATATCTCTCTGACCATATTTGCATGGTGAGATCAAAGTAGAATTTTTAATTACAGCTGGCCAGCATCTGTAAAACTATACAACTGTTTCTATACAAACATATTCTATATTTTTATCTCAAAGTGGCTAAAGGGTAGCGAAATAGCATTGGTTAAAAGGTCACATGAACTAAAGATTTCTAATTTAGATTAGCTCAGATGACTTAAGTAACACTTGTTCTGGCATGAAAAATTGGAACAGTTACACAGCTTTCATAAAGTTGTGCTATTTTGGGGAATGACATGATGACAATGACTCAGAACTAGATAGGATCACAGAACTAACAAACCTGTTTTTTGTAATAGTGCATTGTCTTCTGTTTTGGCAATAGTATCTCTTTCAAGACTATGTATAATTATTTGTTATTAAAGAGTTACAGAAGTTGCCTTTTTATTGTGAGATCAGTCATGCAGGATTAACAGGAGGTGCTTAAATGCTAAATACAATGCCACTATATACCTGATACTATGACTTTTAATATTTAATTTGAGAGACTATTGTTCACACTCTTTATTCAGATTCATAAAATTCAACACACTCTGCACAGACTCCACAATGATGCAAGGTGAAACATTTCCAATGCTTTATTTTTCTATGGGAAATATTATATTTCATAAATTCATTAGAAACAATGAATGGATGTCAGATGCAAAGAAATATTAGGCTAGTGTGACAGTTTCAAAGTTTTAGCTTTGTTTTTCTAAATACTAAGGATGCTAAATTAGATCACTCCCTAGGGTATCAGAAAATAGTCTGCTACAACACCCTCATTTCCAGTAAATATTCCCATTTAAAATATTCTGGAAAACCAGTATCCCTGAGTATCCCATGCATAGATCTTCAAAGTATAGAGCTACCAAGAATTTACCTCCCTTGGTAGCCAGTCATTATCTGTGATGGCCTTAGACCCTTTCCATCTCTGGTAGTTTGTTTATTTTCCTGTTGTATCAGTCATGCACAACTTGCTGTGCAAATGATTGTGAGTAGAAAGGAGGAAAGGGGCAAAGAAATGCTAAAAATAGGTTTATAAATAGCAGCTGTTTTGCTCACCTGTGGTAAAAATGACCTCTAGGTTGTCTGAAACCCAAGTATCTAATGAATAAAATTTAAAGATGCTGGCCAAGTAACTTGTAGATTTGGGCAGGAGCAGTTAATTGATGTGCATGGAGGAAAATAGACAATTCTTCCTTCAAAGGAGCAGTAAGAAGGCAAGCACATAGCTGTGGTCTTGCAAGAGTAGTTCTGCAAGCATCTGTACCAATATGAGAAGCAGTAGTTCAGCTATCGATACGTCTGTCATATTTTCTTGATTTATCCTGACTCAAATTATTTTTTTCTGGTTGCACTTGCCCAAATTTATAAATAATCTCATAAGGATTTGACAAGTCTATGTAAACCTAGCAGAGTTTATTTTTTATGTGCAAGATTGGGAAAGAGGAAAATATGCCATACTACTTCAATTTCTTCAGGAATAAGGTAAACCTATCCATTTCACACAAGTGTATGTGATAGACCTTGATGATTTGAAATTCAAAGCAACAGGTTGGTGTGCCTAATTGTTTCCTTGCTCCAAATGTTATACACCACAAGCTGTTCTCCCACCCCGGTGGTGTTCCGTGTGTGTGTGCAAATACTCTTATAAGTAGTATAAAGCACACCACGTAATGCTGGATCAGATTATACCACAATATAGGCATGTGTTGAATCTGCTGCGGAGCAACAAAAAAAGAAAACCAGAATAAACTGGACAGAATGTTGTTGGTGCCCAATTAAACTGAATGTTTCACCTTGCACATTGGGTCACACTTGGAGTAGATGCACTGAAATCAGTGGGCTTTAAGTCCATTGTTTTCAGTGGGCAAGTATGACTAAAATTAGATCTCGACCATTAAATATACCAGTGGCCTAGCAGAAAAATATTAGACTTGCTTCTGAGCAAGCATACATAGGATTATGCTGCAAGGTTTGTAGTTGGAGTAAGTTCTGAAAACACGGATTCATGAATATTAAAGGCTTTTAACATTGAAATGTAACTTTATTTCTTACGTTTGAAAAACTTTAGCTTCCAGATTTCCTAAACCACTGGTACCACTTGAGATGCCTTTGAAGCAAATAGTACCACCCGAACCAACTAGTACTTGGGGTACAGTAAACTTCTCTACTTGCTACATAAACGTGCATGGTCTAAATAGGTGCTAGGTGAACCATGGTTTTGATATGATGCAAAATAGATGCTGCTGTTTCATTAAATCTACTTACATAAACATGCTATTCTGTTTGTTTTGTGTAACCTGGAATGTTTAACAGAAATGGCCATGGTTGTTTCCATTTGCATTAGCATATGACTATAATGAGTTTCAGGGGTTGCCATTTTTTGGGGGACCATTGGACATACTTCTATTTTTGAGAGAGCATTGTGGGTGTCAGTCACAAAATGATTGTTGTGGCATAACGCACCATAGTTGGGTGAACTTAAATAGAGTCCCGCTGAATCAAACCAAATATAGATCCTGTGTTCTATTTCTCATAGTGGCCAATTAGTTATCTCAATCAGAGAGCAGCTATTCTATGGCTTGTTCCTTGAACTCACTCATTCTGTCTCTGAATTCAGAGATTCCATTTAGCCATCATGACTCATAGCCATGAAAGACAAATTCATGGTGAGAGGTTTTGAAGTCTTTTACCTTATACCTATAAACACATCTTGTGGCAGTGCGTTCCATAGTTTAGTGATGAATTGTATGAAAAGTACTTTTAACTGTCCCAAACCTTCTGCCAACTAATTTCTTTGGATAGCTCAAATTCTAATATTATGCTTGAAGGAGAAAAGCCTTTCTGTTATGAGGATGAGGGAGTATCTTGGATATACAGCTATTAGAATTTTAAACCATATTCCAAGTGTGGTTGTGCTATAAAGAATTAGCGCAGTGTAGTTTAATCATGGTGCTTTGAATAAATCTCTGACTTCCTCATTCTCATACTTGTTCTGCTTAGTTAGGTACTTCATCGTTTGCTATTGGATCCAAAGCAGCAAGCTATGGCTATGCAAAAATCCAAGCCATAATTGCCACATACACAGGACGAGGAATGTGCAAGGCCAAGACTCAGCCATAGTTCAGTATTTTACTTCTGAACAGTGGCTAAATGTCATTTTTTTAAAAAGCATTTCTCCTTGTCATGGTACATGAGTCATGAGGAGCGTGTGATTCATTTCCATATTTTTAGGGGGTAAAATGGTCAAAAATTTTCATGTCTTATAAATACTTCTACAGTACTACTTCTACTACCACCTATGTGCAGACTGAATAAGTGACATCTAGAATTGGAAAGATGGTCTTAGTTTCAAAATCATTAATGTAGGCAGTATTGTTTCATACATACATTTTTATTAGGGTTTATATAGACAAATACAAAGACTATTATTAAAAAAATTTTTTAGTCTAGACTGAAACATTAATCTAGAGGCAAAAAAGAGAAAAACGAGGAAAAAGAGGAAGGGAGGGAGGGATAGAGAAAAAGGAATAGAAAAAAATGAGAGAAAAGAAGGAATAGAAAAAGAATTGAAAGAGACAAGAGAAAAAGATAGGCAATATTGTTTGGTGAATCTCTGAGAAAATACACAATTTTAGCAGAGGTGTGTCCTAAGGATTGTGTTCTAATTATTTTGTTTGTCAAGTTAAACTTTGTATTTAATTCTCTTCTTGACATTTGACTTTTTAAAAAATAACTATTGTTTTCCATAACGGAAAACAATAAGGAACAATACATTCTATAGCATAGTAGCATAACACTACAAAATCAAACTTCATTACAAGAGCAGAGTAAAATTGTGAAACCATGATTTGAAGTGGATCTGTGCAACAAGAGATATGCATGTGATATAAGCACATACCCCTTTATATGTAGGATTTGGAAATCAAACAAGCAGCCACAAATGCTTTAGTAAAGCATTGGACCATAGCAGATGGTGTGAGACTGGAGGGATGGAAGAACCCTTTGTTGGGTTAATGGGAACCAGGATAACATTTGGTTTTAATTCCTCTTACATCTCTGTTGCATTCCATAACTTGCTCAAGCACAGCTAAGTTTTAGACTCTATTCCACCAACTTTTTAAGGTAAAATGGGAGTGAAAGTGTCAATGCTGTGGTAGTTCTAACTGGGCTATTGCTAGTAACTCTGTGATCCTATCTGTATACATTGCATTCTCCAGTGTGCCAGGGAGGATGGAGAGCAACACTAGATCCAGAGAAATTATTTGCTGTGATATTTGAATAATTTAACAGACGTTCAGAGCAAATATCTGTTGTATCTGATTTGTTTTGTCAGACCTTAGTTTTAATACAGAGCTATCTCTTGTGTGTGGGCTTTTAGCTGTCTAAATACTGCTGAGATGCTTGACAAATATGTTGTAATCTCTGTAGGATCCTGCTATGCAAGTTGTATACTCTTGGCATCTAAGTCTATCAGTTATGTTGGCAGACATGGCTTTTCTTTTAATCAGGTTCATTTATACTTTCATCAGTTTTTTAGTTGTTTGTAAATTAATGTGTTGCTTAATCTGACACTGCCCTCCCCCCCCGCCCCTGTTTTGAGTTCAGACAAGTATTTGCAGTTTCATATTGTGAATAGCACTCTTAGAATATTTGTAATTAAGTCTGGTTTTTTAAGTTCAGACTAAATATGATTCTTGAAAGGATAGTTTTGAACTCTGAAATGAAAGAACCAAAACACTGGTTATTGGCTTCTCATTAGTAGAGAAGAACTGTATTTGTAGCTACAATTCTATGATCCTATGCACCAGATTATTGTTAGTAATCTAGTGTCAAAAACAGTCCAGTCTGTACCAGTTTAATCATGCAGTGGAAACATTGACTGTGATTGAGGAGAACAAAGAGCAGTTTAAGGACCAGGGTTCTTGAAGGACTGTACATAAAAATCTTGAGTGGAACCATCTGAGGTGAAGTGAGTGGCAGTCAAAGAGGGAGCTGCCTTGATTGTGGCACCCCAGTTGCAGAATGCTTATTGTCCTTTTAGTGACCCTTTCCAAAACTTTCCTGATCCTGCTGACTGTTTTATGCCACTTTTATGATTTTGCGTCTTTTAGCTTGCTTTTTGTATTTACATCTTATTTATTATTTTTGTAAATCACCCTGGGAATATGATTAAAAGGGTGGTATAGAAATACTTAGAAATAATTTTTAAGCTGGCAAGATAGCTTGGTTATTGGTGTAGATGAAGTATAACCTGAATTTGTGGTCTCAATTTTAAGTTAGATAAAACTGGTATGAACTTGGTAAGTTCATAATGCACTACTTGTGATGCTAAATTTCCAGCATATTGCTGAAGCACTCATTATGGAAACTTATGTGTTGCTCACAAAATTTCATTGGAAAAGAAACAACTGGTTTTTGCAGTACCAGAGCAACCTATTCTAGTCTGTTTATAACCTGGTAAAAGCCCAGCAGAAATTTTGAGAGCTCCTTTTGAACTGTTCAGATCAGTTTATTTCCCACCTGAACATTCAACATCCTTAGGTAAGATGATGGGAACAGCTTGCTATCTTTTTCTCCAGTTTAAAAGATGAAAGGGGAGCAGTCTTTCAAATTCTGATGTGCCGTTCTCGCATGAATGGGATGCCTTTCATATTGGTGTGGTGGTAGAACACTAAGAAGATACAATGCTAACAGTTGGTAGAGGTAGACATCAAAGGATCCAAATTCTGTTTTATAGGCCTCCCAAGTATGTGTATGTAGACTAGGAGCTATCCTTTGCTCACAAATTTGAAGTGAATCTTAAGCCTTTTTTCAAAGCTTTTTCTTCCTTTAGGAAAATAGAGCAGTTTGTTCCAAAATGGAACAAAATATGATTTGAATTGACACTAAATATGATTTGATTTGACAGGCTGAAAAGCAGCTGTTCAACGGTCTTGACTGGTATTCTGTGCCATAAATCGTCTGATAGACCTTTTTCTTCTTGATTAAGCCATTTCCCCCCCTGTTTTCAACTCGAAATGTTATACCTCTTAGTACCGTCATGTGCCTATCTGAAACAAAGGCATCTCTAAGCTTTTATGGTGAACACTTTCAGAATTACAAGTGCAAGAATTTCATCCTGTGATTACCAAATTATTCTGTATACTTCTGCTGTCACTGTGGGTTGTCAAAATTATTGAGCTTTGAGAAAAATGAAATCTATCTAGATTTATCACTGCAAGATCAGTGTGAGTGAATTATTGGGACCTTTTGTTGGGGAAGCAGGGGTGAAGAAAGTTAGGGTTACAGCATCTTTGCACTGCTGATATGTGATACAGTGTGGTTGTGTTGGCACGGAGAGAAGTGGGAGCAGGCTGGCTCTTCAGAGCCAATCCGCTCCTGCCTGGCCCCTGGGGAGGTGAGGCCAATGAGCAGTTTCTATTGGGCAGGATTCATAGTACAAAATGGGGCAGCAGAGACAGAGGTAATTGCCTACTCTGCCCTATGAGTTATATACTGGGATGATTTGCTTTTGAGTTTCTACAGATCATCAGGGTTCCTAACAGCCTAATTTCAAATTAGAAGGGAAGAACCCTGTTGCTATTGTAGGGTTAGCAATTATAAACTTGCTGATTTTACTGCAAATCATACAGTGAACTTTTGATAGACCCCACTATGCCTTCTACTTACCATGTTCTAGGGGGCAAGTCTTTGCCCTGAATAAACGGAGCATTCTCCCAACATAGCCAACTATCCTATAGCAAAAAGAAATTCTAGGAAAAGTCATTAGTATTGGGCAAGTTGTTTTTAGGGAAGCTTGTCTGCTGTTACCAATCTTCTTATTGAAGATCCTCTGATAAGTGTGTAGGTAACCATTCCCTTAAAACAATTTGAAAACCATTGTACTATGTGCTGCCATGTACATCTTAAAAGGTAAAGGTACCCCTGCCCGTACGGGCCAGTCATGTCCGTCTCTAGGGTTGTGCGCTCATCTCACTTAAGAGGCCAGGGGCCAGCGCTGTCCGGAGACACTTCCGGGTCACGTGGCCAGCGTGACGAAGCTGCTCTGGCGAGCCAGCACCAGCGCAGCACACGGAAACGCCGTTTACCTTCCCGCTATAAAGCGGTACCTATTTATCTACTTGCACTTAGGGGTGCTTTCGAACTGCTAGGTGGGCAGGAGCTGGGACCGAAAGACGGGAGCTCACCCCACCGTGGGGATTCGAACCGCCGACCACGCGATCGGCAAGCCCTAGGCACTGAGGTTTTACCCACAGCGCCACCCGCGTCCCTAATGTACATCTTAGAGGATACCAAAAGAATGACATTACTAGACTATATATTTCCCATTCTTGAGGAATTAATTTTATGAAAAGATATTTTTCCTCATGCAGCCATTATTTATTTTTATTGAGAAAACAACAACTATGAACTGCTTAATTGAAAAAAAATGTAAGCAGTGTCCATAAAGTAATATGAAATAATAGTACATGGATAGTCAGCAACATCTTGAAAACAATATGACTAACTTACATGTCTTTGTAGGTATGCTAGAAAAAGTTTTATTATAGTGTGCCTGCAGTTTGGGGGTTACTTTTGGCAGGAAAAAATGGTACCTGGTAAGGAGTTAAATCAATACATTTGTATGAAGCACAATACTAAGAAAAGAGGAAGAAGTTTCTTGTTTCTAAAAATATCAGTGGGGGAAAGCATGTGTTTGAGAATCAATAGATGTTTACTGTTTATGGACTGTTTATGTTAACTGCTATAGTGAAACCTAGAAATAAGACTCTCCCATTGGGGAAACTTTTAAGTAGTTCTCATGCTGTATTTGTAATATTTCAGTTGCTTAAATAAAGTTAAAATTAGCTTGATCTGGTTTCTGTGCATCTTATCCACCAGTCCAGATGTCTTCTACCACATAGTGCCATATGCTTTTATGGGCTCTTGAATAAAGCTCCTTTTTGACAGACGCAGGGATATATTTTGTTCAGTATGGGGTAATTAAATCTCTCACTGTCCTGATAGTATCTTGGCAAGTGATTTGCTGGCTTTGCCTTGACAGGCAGGTGGAGAAAAACTACGTACTGTATATTCTGTGTTCTGAACTGATGGATCTGAGGCACAGAAACTAACTTCAGGTAAGATGATGCTTCAGTCTGTATATGTAGGATACACTTGCTTAGAGCCAGTTGTCTTTCCAGTGTCTTTGTTTATGAAATAAAGCATACACACCTTCATAGTTTATTATTTTGGACTATAAAACTGTTGTATCCTGCCCTTCCTCCATGGAGCTCAGAGGCTCAAGTGGGGTCCTTACAGCAACCCAGCTACTTTAGGCTGAGACACAGTGACTGGTCCCATGGCATCTGGTAAATTTCCCCCCACTAAACATCAATACACTTTATTAACTACACTACACCGAATGTACTGTGTACAGCTATGCACACAATGTGATTTAACCTACTTGTACCATTAATCATGTGGTTGTTTTCATAATTTTTTTTGCAAAACACTAACTGTTGCTGCTATAAGAACTGTTAACCCAATTCCTGCTTTTGGATTACCGGTAGATGCTTTGTGTTTTGTTTAGGCTGCAATTTTCTTCCTTACTGAAGGCTTATTTTTTCCCCCTTTACTAACACCCCAGCAGTAGGATATCATTTAAATGACCCCCTCAGTCTGATATCACTTTAATCCAATGTATTTTGAGTTGCATAGTGTTGCTTAAAAATCAGTAAATGTTAGTGTAACGTTTTTCTTGTGGCAGGAAATTGGGTTTATACCACTAACCAGTGTTGGAGATTTCTTCTTGTAAGCAATATAACATCTTTTTGTGGTATTGGGTAGTGTTCAAATCTTCAGATAACCGATTTTATCAAGAGCACTTAAGGGTAGTAAGGGTAGTAAACTCTTCCATTTATCCTGTCTAAACAAATCATTTATTTGATGATACTGCAACCAGTCTGTCGCAGCCTCTCCAATGTGTCACATTTTAAAAGTTTTATTTCTTCTTTTGAAAAGTCCAAAAGGTCTCTGTATGTTGCCTAATATCCTTCCATATTCCTAAATTGTGGGATTTTAATAAAGGGGCAACAGCATAATCATGTACCCTATCATATGCTGAGACTAAAGGTTGGATTTTTCAAGATCAATTACGGTACATACAAGCAAGGAGAATTCAATTAGTCAGTAGTTGGGCACCCCTGCACTAGTGACAATGTAATTTGAGTATTTTAGCCAACATTACTCAGTGTTTCAGATGATCAAGCAAATGAATATACAGTCAATTATTTTGTGAAATGGTGCTTCATTAGAATGCATAAGAAGTGTATAGTTCTGTTAGCATGCTTTTGTTTAATCAAAGGCGAGCATGGATCTGAAACTCACAGAAGACTGCAGTAAGCTGCCAAGCTGCAGTTTTCTGCGCAGTAGCTTGTGAATGCACCATATATGAAGAAATCCAAATTTTCTATGAAATGAGTATTTCACACTATGCTGTTCAAAGAGAACAGCTGTTCAAATATTTGTGGTTATAATGCTTTTCTTTAATCACATTTTTCTACTTATCTAGAGAAGTTGGAAGTTGCGCCACCATCCACTGGACAGCTGAAACATGGTAAATTATGTCTATTTTTTTAGAAGCTTAACTGTGGAGAAAGCCTCTCTAATACTTGGAACATTTCTCTCGAGGCCAATGCAAGGCATACAGTTGAATACATGAGAATACATTGGGCTGCTTGAGTCACAACATTATAGAATTCTAATTCTTGCTTCCCCAAATTATGAGTAACATCATAAATCTGATTATCTTTACAAAAATAATTTTTGCTAGTAAGTTTTACTTTTAGCTGTGATGAGAGGAGAGTGGGGTTAAAAGGGACAGAAATGAAATATGACAGAGAGGATGAAGATGTTTCACCCAGCTCTTTGCAAATTGTTGATTAATGTTTATAAGCAGATTTCCCCACCCAACACAACCCTTCCCATATACGACAATTTTCGTGGGGGGGAGGGATGACAACTCCAGATTAACTGGGCCTATAGCAGCTGCATCAGTTTTTGTAGTGCTCTGTGTACAATGTGCTAGTAGTTGCTGTGTGGTGAGTTATACATTGAAAGAGGCTTCCATATCCCATTTCTGTGATCTCAAACATCACAGTTCATATGGGAGTTTTTTCAAATTGTAGAAAATGGAGAATTGAACAGTAGTCTGCATGTATGAATTTGCAAGCATTTGAAAGCACTCCTCACACATGTGTCTCTTTCTTCTAGTGTTCTTCCACAATGCAATACCTTTTGTAGGGTTTGGATTTTTTGATAATGCAATTATGATTGCTGCGGTAAGTCATGTTGCTCCTTGATCTCAAGCTTGTTTTGTGCTGGGTTATATTTGGTATCCAGTTACCTTGATATGATAACATGTGTAACGCTAGCTTCAGAAAGACTTATTATTATCAGTAATGTTTTAGCATACTGTATTGCTATAATAGATGTAACCTTATGCATGTTGTCTTTTAAAGTTTCTGGGAGAATTGGATGGCAGAGAGCTTGCTATTCCTAATGTCTTAATTTTGTAAATAAACAACTTCTGTAACCTTGCCTTTGTTAATGAATGTATAGATTTTAATGAAAGTTTATATTCTCTTTATTTTTAGGGCACACAAATAGAACTGTCCATAGGAATTGTCCTTGGAATTTCTACTATGGCAGGTAAGTAATCTATGCTTGACTGACTGTCCATGGCCATCTACGAATTGCCACTAATCTACGAATGTGTCTGTGCACACTAGGTCCTTTTTTTAAAAGCTGCTGATTGATGATTGAACTTTGTAGTGCCAGATGGAAATTTGGTTACCAGATAATCTTACAGAAACTCAGTTCTTATGCAAAAACTGCACATTAAAGTTCCATGAATCTTTCTGCCATGATTTTAAAATCCTAAGCAGGCTGTGTATAACCACAAGGAGAGGCAGCTGAGGAGAGGCTGCTTAACTCCTCTCCTCCTGTTTGTACTTCTAAATCACATTCCGTGAGGTCCATTTTCACCTGGGATGGTTAGGGGTCCTTCTGGATGAAAAAGCTGTTTGGGAAAGTGATTGGGGCTGGAAAAGATTTAGGGACAAAGGAGTTAAGCCATGGGTAGGCAAACTAAGGCTCGGGTGCTGGATCCAGCCCAATCGCCTTCTAAATCCGGCCCGAGGACGGTCCAGGAATCAACGTGTTTTTACATGAGTAGAATGTGTCCTTTTATTTAAAATGCATCTCTGGGTTATTTGTGGGGTCTGCCTGGTGTTTTTACATAGGAATTCGTTCACCCCCCCCCCAATATAGTCCGGCCCCCCACAAGGTCTGAGGGACAGTGGACTGGCCCACTGCTGAAAAACTTTGCTGACCCCCCTGAGTTAAGCATTTCCTACAGGCTTAAACAGCTCAAGAGGTTGAATCCAAGCAGGAAACAGATCTTACATTTGCCTCTTGCATTCCTAGTTTTCTCTTCTTAAATAGTTTTAATTGACACTATGACCATCATCATTACTATTATTATTAGTTTAAAGCCACTTTGAGTGTTTATTGGTATATAAGTTCTATAAATAAATAAGTTCTCACTTTGCAAAATATTTTTTTATTTGCGCTTCCAAACTGTTCCAAGAGAGCAACAAAAAAAAAATCTGTTTCTCCATGGCACTTGAAACAAAGTGTCTCTGTTTAAGATGAAAGTGTGGCAGCATATTAAAGTCACAAGTGTGAAGTATTATTGAATAGTCTCCTTTTAAATTTTAGAACTTTTTCATCCAAAAGGATTGACTGGCTAATTCTGAACCTGGAGGCAAATATTTGTGATAGATTTTAAATTCAATAATGCCAGCAGCTTTCTTAGCAAGATTAACATGCTTATAGAAATAGAAGTTGGTTTTGCAGAAGCGTTGAAACTAGGAACGTAGGAAGCTGCTTTATACTGAGTCAGATCCAGCTCATCATTATCTTCACTGACTGACAGCAGCAGCACTCTAGAGTTTCAGAAAGGGAGTCTTTCTCTGGAGATGCTGGGGATTGAAACTGTGACCTTCTGTGTACAAGGCAGATGCTCTGTCACTGAGCTATTGCTGTTGTGTGTATGTGAGAAAGTATGTTTTCACATCCCCCTGAGCACTGTAAATGTGTTGCTTGCTGCACCTTTCAGTCTATTCCTTCCCCTGTAGATTGCCAGTGCCGATGTACACATGGATATAGAACCCCCCCACTCACCCCAAAAATCTCAAAGTGGTCAAACATACAATTGCATCCTAGATTCTTACTCTTTTTAGAGTGTGATGCATGGAGAAGCTTATAAGAGCATCGGAGAAACATTTCTTTCATTCTGCAGAAAGCACTTTCTATTCAAAGTCACACTGATCAATTGATTCTCTGTGCTTGTAGAGAGCCAGCCTGCACTGCTTTGAAGCCTCCATAATCAGCCAAATGATATGCTTCAGAATGTATTGTAAAGGACAACCACCTTTTGGCTCATCCCTCACCTTATCACCCCACAGGTGTAGGGCAGTACACCGTGACATGACTTGGCTAAAATGGCCTGGGAATGGGGAGGCCTGGCTTATCCAGTTAGGTTCATAGCTTAGAAATTCCCCACTCCTGTATTACCCTGCTCTTGTACCAGCTTTCTTGGTTACCATTTTCTTTCCAAGTTCAATTCAAGGTGCTGTTTTTGACCTTTAAAGCCTTAAATGCCCTGAAACCAAAATACCAGATTTACCTTCCTCTCTGTGTTACCTGACAATCTCATTCCTCTTCTGGTACCCTCATTGTTGGAAAATTCCTGTTTTAATTGTGTAGCTTACCATTCTCAAGCTGTTCTGCTCCTACGGGTTCTTAAAGATTATTGTTTGTATTCTGTACCGATATATATTTGATTGTAAGATCCTTGAATATTTTATAGAAAGGTGCATTATAAAGGGTTTCAAGCAAGCAAATAATATTAGGTATAATTCTGGATTCTGAATCATTAAATGAAATAAAACAGTTGGCATTTGTGTAGTGTATTGTTCTGTTCTTAGTAGATGCATTACAATGCTTGTGATTCTTTAATATCTAGCTGCTGCCTTGGGAAATCTTGTCTCGGACTTAGCTGGATTGGGGTAAGTCTTAATTATATTTTATAGGCTGTGATCCAGTATCTTGTTCGTACAGTGGTTAACCAAATGCCAATATTTACTTTACCAACAATTGCTCTGGGGCTGTTTAGTGTAGTCTCCACTACCTTGGAGCTGAATGGCTGGCAGTGGCATAGTGGAACTAAGTCTCAGATTTGTCAGTTCACAACCAACCACCCCCCCCCCCCGCCGAAGTTGCAGTAGAAACAAGAAAGCTTTCCGCAAAAACCATCCCAACAAAAGGGCACAGCACCTGTTACATGCCAGAGTGCCTCTTTAGAAGTCTATTCTTTCTACCCCAAATCTCGCATGAATCACCCATAGGCTTACCTCACCTATACTGCCAAGTTTCAAATCAGTCCTTTAAACTATTTCACACCCTATAAGCAATTGAACCAACTCCCCCTTGACACAGGGCCACAACTGTTTTATGTATTAGTATTGAAATTGTCCCTCTTAAGCTCTAACGGTGCTTAAGTGCTGGTTTGGCATATGTTCAGGAGACAGAATTGCTCGCTGCATTTCCACAACCAACAGAAACGGAGCATCCTGTAACTGCTGTATTTCATATTATTGTGCTCAAAATATTTTTTGGGTTTTTTTCTCCAAGACTTGCAGGTTATATTGAAGCTATGGCCTCCAGGCTGGGCCTCTCCATTCCTGATCTAACGCCCAAACAAGCTGACATGTGGCAAACACGCCTCAGTGCACACGTGGTGAGTCTATGTTGTGTCTGTGTTTTTATACATACAGTTTTGGTTAGTGAGAGGTTAAACTAATAGCGGACACTGTGTAGTGCAGTAGCACCTTGGATCAGAATTCAAGTCATCTGGAAAAAGCTAAGTGCTCTCAGAATTTTGAGATCTTAGGGGCATTTAACATGTGGCTTGTTCTGCAGATATAATGACCATAGTAGGCACACTATAGATACAAGTGATAGCTTCCCATTTCTGCATTTACGTGTTTCTGTTAAATCCTTTTATACTTTTTGCCACTCTGGCAACAAGTAGTTTTGGCAAGTACAAGGCAGCTGTAAGGGAAATATGACTAGATGGTCGTGAGACTATGAAAAGCAGCAACTCCAGTATTCAGATTATTCCTGAACACTTGAACTTGTGGAGATACAATGTGCATGTTACCCCACTCCCTATTATTGTGGGAATGAACTCTTTTAAAAATGCACATAGAGGTTCTCAGAATGTAAATTCTGCAGCAAATATTTGGGAACGAGAAGGATAATAGAAATGAAGTTCATTGCTCGTTACTTCCTGTTCCTGTTGTTGGACCTGAAATCTGGTAACCTTCATAACTAAATTGTGAGTGACCCATTTTTCTTTGTTTTATAGGGTAAGGCTATTGGAGTGACCATTGGCTGCCTTTTAGGAATGTTTCCATTGTTCTTCTTGGGAGATGAAGAAGAAAAAAAACTGGAAGAAAAAAATTAACCTTTTTACAGTGCTTAAGATCTATATAAACTAATGTACCTCAATTATACAACTATGCTGTCAAAATACTTAGCATTTAGCAGACAGTAACAATGTATAGAATGGGGAACAAAACAGCATGCCATTTTATGGAAACACTAACTTATTGTGGCTTTGTTCTAGTACATCTTTTTATAAGGGTTTTTCCTTTTTAAAATGTAAATTGTTGATGTGTGTGTGTGTGTTTCACTTACACCGGCAGTTGGCGTTTACCATCCCCCCCCCTTTTGCCTCTATCTTTTATAAGGATTATTACTTTCAGTGCTTGCCATCAATGTACTGTATGGGGCTGGAGTTTGCATATTTACTTAGCGTTTGCAAACGCATGGCACAAGTTCCCTTTGATGCCCATCGTTCTCTCCATTCAGGCCTTTCAGTGAAGCTAGGTGACAGATGGCTTTAGGAGGAATCATGTCTTACTTTTATTCATCTTGGGTCACCAGTTGCACACTGTATGACTGAATAGCAAGACTTGTTTGAATAATGCAAAATTTGAAATAGGGTGTAGATACTTGCTGAATAATGAGGCAATTAGAGTGAAACACTTAAAGGTCAATTGCAGTTTCAGGTGCTGCCCCTCTCTCAAAACTCCATAGACATTGCTTGGAATGCATCCTTGATCTTGCCAAATTGGCATCTGAGATCAGGAGAGTCCTGAAAATTGGAATCTTAGTAACTGACATGCAACACAGGCTACAGTTAGGAAATGGGGGTTTGCTCAATAGTTGGAGCTGGAAAAATGTGCAAAACAACAATTAATGATAGTGCTCATCAGCACCAGGAGGCCAGTTGTTTGTGAGAGTGTAGCAACAATATTTTTGAAAATTGGTTTTCATTTCAGTTGGTGTGTGTATGCTGCCCTCCTTCCATGCCTCTCCGAAAGAATGAAAGAAAACCTTTAACCTATCTGAATTTCATTCATCAATTCTAGGCGTCTGGGGAACCCCCAACAAAATAAGGGTCTATTGTTTGCTGAATCATGTGTATTTGTAGAGCACTTTGTGCACTTGGTGTGTGCAGGCCGAGAAAAAGCAGTGCATTGCGCACTTTGAATAGGGGAAAAGTGGAGTTCAGATATGTTTAGAATTAGTGCAAAGTAAGATGAAGCCTTGAAAGGTTGTAGCTCATTAAACTGTGTTGCCTTCAGTGAGAAACAGACTTCAGTGTGCCACTTCTGGAAGTCTCTTGTTTCAGGAATTTGAAAGTAATTTTCACTGTCCTTGTTTCTTTGACTACTAACTGGGGCAGAATGTTACTTTAGATGTGTCTTGGAATGCCTTTTAAATGTCTAGACTTGGTCTGGATGTGTGGATCATGTGTGCAAAATGTAACTTAAATAAATAAACTTGATCACTTTTCATTAATTAGAAGGGCATAAAGGTTTCTTTCCGTTTTGCCTCACTGGTTCTCTTGTCATACTTAGTGTGCAATTTCCTATGTACCTTTTACTTGTTGGAATAGAGAATATTAATCTTTGCCATGTTCTGAATAATGGATGATAACTTGCACTGAACATCCAACTTCTAAATATACAACCAGCATAAGTAGGAATGAATACATGGCTGTAGGAAGCTTTTAATGACACTTTGTTTTGAAGTCTTAGTTGCTGCTTTTTTAAAATAGTTTTTATGGAGGCATTATCCTATAAAGTCAAAGCTTGTTTCTAGCTATAAAATGACATCACTTGCAGCCCTATTACAGTGGTACCTCGGGTTACATACGCTTCAGGTTACAGACTCCACTAACCCAGAAATAGTACCTCGGGTTAAAAACTTTGCTTCAGGATGAGAACAGAAATCGTGCTCCTGCAGTGTGGCAGCAGCGGGAGGCCCCATTAGCTAAAGTGGTGCTTCAGGTTAAGAAGAGTTTCAGGTTAAGAACGGACCTCCAGAACGAATTAACTATTTAACCCGAGGTACCACTGTACTGAATCCTTGGGAGTTGTCACATGCAAGCTGCCACCGTACCTGGAAGCACATTGCATTGAAATCAATGGGGCTTTCTTCTGAGTAAACATAGTAAGGTTTGAATTCGGTAAGACGATTCAGTAGTAGTTGGGTTCGGAATTTACCCTGTGGTCTGGTTTGCTCTTGTGCCTTTAGCAGCAGCTTGACTTGTACAAATCCAGTAGATGAAGCTTCTCATAGCATGGAAATGCATTGTCATCTACTCTCGTTCTTCAGGTATCTGAAGGACTGCCAACTTCTGCATGAATCCTCCTGTACATTTAGGTACCGTCTTCCAAGACCCTCTACCTTAGGTGGGGTGAGACTGGGCAAAGAGCATCTTTGGTTATGCCTCCTCACTTTTTTGAAATGTCCCCACCAGGAAGCCTGCCTCTTTTCTTTTTAACTCCAGTCAAAAACTCTTCTCTCGTATTACGCTTTTAATTACGTGTTTATAGTTTTAGCTCGCTTCTGTTTGGTATCCCACTGTTGTAAGCTGATTTTATGCTTTCATCTTTTTTAGATTTGTTCACTGCCCTGAGAGCATTTGTGCTTAACCATGGGATTAATTGGGTTAAAAAAGAAAAAAAAGGTTTGGCAACCCTAGAATAAGCCATATCTACAAACTGATACACAGCAGTATTTATAAATGCATTTCTGAATTACTTTTAATGTTTTTTGTTATAAAAACTATGAGGAGGTCTATACTCTTCCTATTCCAAATTTATTGCACATTCTGAGAGAGGAAGAACTTAAATCAGCAACAAAATAAGGGACCCCTATCTTCTGCTGTCCCCTAGCAATTTAAAACAAATATTCTCTCACAACTATGATTTGAATAAAGCATCCCTTAAGTAACTGCTCTACTAATTTACAGAACCTTATAGCTTAATGTATCTGCCGATATACTGATAATCTGAATATAACATCACTTTAAGGATCAAACTAGATGATTGGTAGCAGACCAGCATGTAAGAATCCCAGACATAAAAAGTGATCACGGAGAGAGAGAGACCTGGAAGGAGAAGCTGTAATCTTTAAACTACCTTCAAGCTGTAGGTGTACATACCCCTCCTCCCCTTCAGTTGTCTTTCCGAATCATGGATTCCCAGATACTTGTTTTTCCCCCAGATGGAAATAACAGTTCAGAGAGTTTTACTATAGGAGTTCATTCAGCTGTCACCCTAAAATTGATTCTGCTTGGTTTCAAAAGGATCACATATTAGGTGATAAATGCTGAATGTACAGTTTAATAGTTTTGGCTGCATCTTTCTCTGTGTAACATGCTGACAAATATAAATTTGTTTATGACTTTCCCCCAACTTGTTTTACTGTACTGGGTATTATGATATTTGGTGACAAAAGATCAGAGCAATAGTCAACAACTGACAGGCTGTTTGGAACAACTAAATTTCCTGAAGAGAGCACCAGAGCAAAAAACTAGCCAAATGTCTGCTGCTGCAATAGTTGCATTTTTTAAAAATAAAAAGTTCATTTAGTACTGTTTTTTGTTTTGGTTTGTGCATGTAAATTGGGTGCATTTTTTGTTGATATATGTATGTCAAACTATTGTACTATGACCAATGTTTTTAACAAGAAAATATGAACTAAATCTTATAAAAATGTGTGTGTGTGTTGAGAATTCATTGTTGTCAAACTGGTACTCTGGAACTATACCAATTACATCTTGGACATGTAAGGTAAGTGACTGATGAAATTGAAATGGTGAAACCAATGCCAAGGGAACATTTTCAAATATGAATGTGGAATTAGATTACAAACTTTGAGTACATCAGAGGCCCCCCCCCCCCCGTTTCTTGTGTGTGGATGCATTCTGCAACATGTCGCTGATGCAATAATGCTGCATTAGTGATGAACTTAAATTGGAATTACCACATTGTTGCTGTCTGGAAGGACACTCTTCTGCTACACTGCAAGAAACATAGGACAACCCATAATTATATATATATATGAATGATTTGTGGTATGAAAAGTTAGACTTTCAATAAGAAGCTACAGGACAAACACCAAGTGGAAATGAAGTAGTATGCCCTTGCCAAAACTTCTGCAGGTAAAACAGAATTGAAAGTGGGATTGTGTATAACCACCTTGCTGCCATAAGGAGCACAAACCATCATGAATGCAGAATAAAAGTGACATCTAGACGGGGTCCCAAAGTAAACTTAAATGTGACTGGGCATTCAGCCAGCAAGGTAATCTGCCAGCATGGCAGGAAATTTGGCTAGCTGCTTATTGACTCATAATGCTTTGGGAGTTCTGCCATTTGCCTCTAATCCTAGCTACCGTGTTGCAGCCAAATCTTGAATCAAATACAGTGGTACCTTGGGTTACATACGCTTCAAGTTACAGACGCTTCAGGTTACAGACTCTGCTAACCCAGAAATGGGACCTTGGGTTAAGAACTTTGCTTCAGGATGAGAACAGAAATCGTGCTGCGGCGGTGCAGCAGCAGCGGGAGGCCCCATTAGCTAAAGTGGTGCTTCAGGTTAAGAACAGTTTCAGGTTAAGAACGGACCTCCAGAACAAATTAAGTATTTAACCCGAGGTACCACTGTAATGGAGAATTGGGGTTCCGTTCTGGAAAGTGAGGGTTCAATGAAACAACCTGCCATTTGAAGGTTTGGTACACTAAAAGATCAGTGGCCACAGCTGTAAGATGAATAATAATTTAGATGCCACAAGTCACTTGTCTCAAATAGAATCACTGTACATGAATGACACTTGCGCACCTGCAGAATTCACAGATGGTGGTGTGGGTGGTTTCTTATTTTTGCTTATGGTAGGAATGGCCTGATTCTCTTCAGCTCAGGAGATGAAATTGTAACTTTTGTACAGTTGAAATGTCCTTTTCCCTCTTAAAAATCTTAATTCCTGCTACTCATTTCTAAAACATTTGTGCTGATTTTTTTAAAATAATACATAATAATAAATTATTACAATTGGGTCAAAATGTTGATTAATTAGAAGCAGCATTTCACATTTTGAGCCTATCTATGAAAGAGCAGTGGGCACTCTTTTCAAAGCCATACTTTTCCTGGGATTATTGAATTTCTGTGCTACAGCAGTAATTTAATGGCAAGTTCTTGCTTCTCACTGAAGACAAGGGAACTAAGCACTGGGCATTGCCCTATCATGCCAGGATTCACCTTTTTAATGCAATGAATAGTGCCTGTTTTGGAAGTGAAACTTTGTCTAGAACTGCATCTACCAAATCAAGCTTGGAAGAGCTAAAAGGTAAAGGTAAAGGACCCCTGACAGTTAAGTCCAGTCGCGAACAACACTGGGGTTGCAGCACTCATCTCGCTTTACTGGCCGAGGGAGCCAACGTTTGTCCCCAGACAGTTTTTTCCAGGTCATGTGGCCAGTATGACTAAGCCGCTTCTGGCGAAACCAGAGCAGTGCATGGAAACACCGTTTACCTTCCCACCGGAGCGGTACCTGTTTATCTACTTGCACTGGTGTGCTTTTGAGCTGCTAGGTTGGCAGGAGCTGGGACCAAGCAGCGGGAGCTCACCCCGTTGCAGGGATTCGAACCACCGAACTTCTGATCGGCAAGCCCTAGGCTCAGCGGTTTAGACCACAGCGCCACCTGCGTCCCAAGATGCTAAAAAGAGCTAGGGGTGATAAAACATGTACAATTCCCCAGACATTGTAATTGTGTTTTATTGTGTGTGTCTGCAGGATAGACAAAATGGCTGTTCCAAGAAACATCAGGGTCCTTCCTGCATTTATCTTGTGGCAGACACTGTGGAACGGTATTTTGAAAGGCTGCTTGCACTTCCACGCCTGGTGTTTATCTAGCAGCTGAATTCTCAAAGGGAAGTTGGGTTTTAACAGCTGTGGGTATTGCTTGCAAGACATGTGGAGCAATACCATATTTGCCATAATAGGCCAGTCTCCACTGCTGACTCATGAAGCATCTTCCACAATTACCTGGGAGGATGCTGTATATTCTCTGTGCCTGTACAGCCAAACAAGTTGGATGCAAATGGGTACAATCCTGATGGTGGGCTCGGTGTGACTATTTTGGCTGTCCCCATCCTTTATTAGTCATCTGTAGCAGTGCATTTTTACCACAAGTCCAACATGGCCAGGAGATGGAAGGCTGTTTCATCCCTTAGGGTTCTTCCACACAAAGCCACTTCTGCCCTACAGAGGAGGTGGGGTTGTGGGCTTCACGGCCCCACCATGCGTGTGGCGGCTGGAGCCCAGCCCCCGCGTGATTGGGGGGATTCCCGGCCGCATCACCCCCTGGCCAGCCAATCGGCAGGCACTGGGGGTGTAGCCTGCCCTATTTAAGGCAAGACGAGGCCGGGGATCTCCCTCTTTGTCGCCTGCCAGCTGTTCTGGTTCCAATATGGCCAGGAGATAGAAGCTGTTTCATCCCTTAGGTCTTTTCCACACAATTACCTTTCTTCCAACAACAACAGCAGCAGCAGCGCTCTCTGTGTTTGTGTATCACATCGTTTTTGTCTTCCATCACACTGAGAAAAGTTTTGTAGTGTGTGAACAAGGAGGAAAGTTATCCTAGAAACTAAAATGGAAATAGTTACTGCTGGGATTTGCTAAGGTTTGTTCCTGTCCACCAGGAACTGCGTGCTTGATGGCTGCTTAGCAGCAAACCTATTGGGACACACGCTGCAGCATGGTTAATGTGTCTGCCTCACTCTGGACTCAACGTCTCTAGCACTGGCATGTTCAGCTGCCGTTTGTCTTGTGATGAAACGGCGCTAGAGAAGTCTCAAGTGTCCACGGCAGAGAAAATCCAGGCTGCAATTTAAGATTGCCAGCTAACCGGGAGGAAATTGTAAACAAAGCAGCTGCAATAACGCCGAGAGGAGTTGGCCTCAGAGATGGGTGATTGTGCGAACAGGCCTATAGATCACCTGAGAAAGACAAAATATGAAAGTATGTTTGTTCCTTCTATGTTCACAGCAGCTTATAATGTAGAGATAACATCCACCGTTAAAAGTGTGCGACAGGTTTGGGCTCCGTTCTTCCTGCCTAGCAAAAAGCAGCAAGATCCTGAGCTGAACCAGGATCCTCGTTGGCAGGTAATGCCATCGCAGCTCCCCACACCTGTCAGAAAACAAGCTGCTCCATTTTAGCCCAGTAGTAATTTTTAAGGGCACCCCCTGTTTAAAGTGCATCATATCAGTCACTTCATCATCATCATCCTTTTTATTCGACCGTCAGTCAGAAAAAAGTACATTTTATCAATACACAGTTAAAAACATCCAGGAAGATTTTAAAACTTAGCCAACACTAAAATGGGCTAAACAGATAGCCCCATATCAATACAGTCAATTATAGTCTTGCGACGCTTAAAAGCTATAAGAGAAATTTGGCCACCAAGGAAGGTATAGCTCTAGTGGCGTTATTCAGCAAGTGTAAAACCTGGTTTTCTCCGGGTAGGAAGCTGAATTGACATAGGAGAGGGTCTATAAAATTTTGTCTAAGCTCTGCATAAGAAGGGCAAGTCAAGAGAATATGTTCAGTGGACTCAACCACACCCATGGCACAATGACAGGTTCTCTGGGCGTATGGTACCCCCCTGTACCTTCCCACAATATCGCAGAGTCAAGGACATTTAATCTAGCCGCTGTAAGAAGTCTACGGTATTCCACATAATGGATTTCTGCAAGGTAGGGGGCTGGTATGGTCCGATAAATCTGGTCCCCTAGGAACGTCCCTGGTTTTACCTGGGCTATGTCCTCTTGTCTGGCAATGTCACTCAGTCTCTGGGAGATCACAGCTCTAGCTTGACTGTACGTCATAGACTCAAAGTAGAGGTGAGACAATCCGCAGGATTGAACCTCATTAATGACCTCCCTTTCCCACAATGATTGGAAATCGTCCCTCAATATCAAGGGGGCAATACCCACTGGTTTAAAACAAAGCTTGAGCCATAGCCAGAGCTTCGCCTTCAAGGCCACATACCGTAGAGCTTGCCAGCCGACCTCTAATCTCATAACCGCACCCGCTACCGAGGGGAATCCTGAGGATGGCTCTAAGGAATCTCGTTTGGATAGAATCCAGTTTCAAAAAATCCCTACGGGAGCCTAAAGAGATGCCCACCAAAAGAAGGGGGAGGACTTTCATTTGAAAGAGTCTCAAAGCTATCTTCACTGATTGATCCTGATTCTTAGCATATAGAGATCTAATCTGGATGGCTGCTTTAGATGCGTTAGTTGTTATATAGTCTCTATGGGCCAGAAAAGACCTATTTGACCGTATTACTTGTCCCAGATATTTAAAGCAGTTAACCTGCTCTAGGGGGGTCCCGTTCATCGACCATCGATGGAGTCTCGGTCGAGCAGAGAAGACTATGATCTTGGTCTTAGCATAGTTGGGTTGGAGCTCATGCTGATCACAGTATTCATGTAGAGCTTGCAACATTCTCCTCAGTCCAATAGGGGATCTGGCAAGAAGTGCGGCGTCAACCGCATACAGAAGAATGTTCAGAGATTGGCCTGCTAATTTGGGGGGGTGGAAAGCTGTTGATTTAAGCAGAGTCTTGTGCCCAGCGGAAGGATGAGGAGTACGTGCTACATACTCTATATTGCTTTATTTACAGTTCAAAGCTGGTATATTACAGAAAGAC